CGCAGCCCCCCCATGAAGGGCGAGCCCCCCCCCAGCAGCACCCTGAGCGTGGGTCAGGCCCGGAAAATGGTGGAGCAGCTGAAGATCGAGGCCAGCCTGTGCCGAGTCAAGGTTTGGGGACCCCAAAATCACCAAAATCACCCCAAAAACACCCGAAATCACCAAAAAAACCCACCAAAATCACCCCAAAACCACGTGAAATCACCCAAAAAACCCAAAATCACCACAAAATTACCCCCAAAACCACCCGAAATCACCCCAAATACCCCAAAATCACCTGAAATCACCCAAAATCACCAAAATCACCCCAAAATCACCCATAAAACACCTAAAAAACCCCAAAATCACCACAAAATCACCAAAAAAAACCCAAATCACCCCAAAACCACCAAAATTACCCCAAAACCACCCAAAAAACCCAAAAATCACCACAAAATCACCCAAAAAGCCAAAATCAGCAAAAAACCCATCAAAATCACCCCAAAACCACCCAAAATCACCCAAAAAAAACCCCAAATCACCCCAGGAACACCAAAATCATCCCAAAACCCCCCTGGGACCCCAAAAACACCAAAATCACCATAAAATCACCCCAAAAACCCCAAAATCACAAAAAAAATCCCCGAAAACCACCCCAAAAACTACAAAATCACCCAAAAAAACCTCAAAATCACCACAATATCCCCCCCAAAAACCCAAAAATCCCTCCAAAATCTCTCCAAAATCACCCGAAATCACTCCAAAAACCCCCAAATCACCCCAAAACTCCAAAAATCACCCCAAAATCACCCAAAAAACCCCCCAAAATCACCCAAAAAACCCCAGACAGACCCCAAAATCCCCCAAACCACAACAAAATGGGATTTTGGGTGTTTTAAAGGGGATTGGGGGGGTAAAAAATGAATTTTTGGGAGGTAAAAAAAGGATTTTGGGGAAAAAAAAGCGGATTTGGGGGAGGAAATGGGATTTTGGGTGTTTTAAGTGCCATTTTTGGGGTCCTTTTCCCATTTTTTGGGGTCCCTCTCCCCATTTTTGGGGTCCCCAGACCCATTTTTTTGGTTCTTTTCCCCATTTTTGGGCTCCCAGATTCCATTTTTTGGGTTCTTTTCCCCATTTTCGGGGTCCCTGATGCCATTTTTGGGGTCCCAGATCCATTTTGGGGGTCCCTCTCCCCATTTTTCCCCCCAGGTGTCGAAGGCAGCAGCGGAGCTCTTGAGTTACTGCGAATCCCACGGCTCCTTTTCCCATTTTTTGGGCTCCTTTTCCCATTTTTTGGGTCCTTTTCCCATTTTTTGGGTCCTTTTCCCCATTTTTAGGGTCCCAGATTCCATTTTTTGGGGTCCCTTTCCCCATTTTTGGGGTCCCAGGTCCATTTTCGGGTTCCTTTTCCCTTTTTCGGGGTCCCTCTCCCCATTTTTTGGGTCCCGTTCCCCATTTTTTGGGTCCCAGGTCCATTTTCAGGCTCCCCAGACCCATTTTTTTGGGTCTTTTTCCCATTTTCGGGCTCTTTTTCCCCATTTTCAGGGTCCCAGATTCCATTTTTTGGGTCCTTTTCCCCATTTTTGGGCTCCTTTTCCCCACTTTCGGGGTCCCTGATGCCATTTTTCAGGGTCCCAGGTCCATTTTTGGATCCCCTTACCCATTTCTGGTGTCCCTCTCCCCATTTTCGGGGTCTCAGATTCCATTTTTTGGGGTCCCAGGTCCATTTTCGGGGTCCCTCACCCCGTTTTCCCCCCCCGGGTCCATTTTCAGGGTCCTTTTCCCCATTTTTTGGGTCCCTTTTCCCATTTTCGGGCTCCTTTTCCCCATTTTTTTGGTCCTTTTCCCCATTTCTGGGCTCCCTTTCCCCGTTTTCGGTGTCCCCAGACCCATTTTTGGGGTCCTTTTCCCCATTTTCAGGGTTCCTCTCCCCATTTTCGGGGTCCCAGATTCCATTTTTTGGTTCTTTTCCCCATTTTGGGCTCCCCTCACCCCATTTTTCCCCCGCAGGTGTCGAAGGCAGCAGCAGAGCTCTTGAGTTACTGCGAATCCCACGCCTGTGAGGATCCTCTGCTCACCCCCGTGCCCACCTCGGAGAATCCGTTCCGCGAGAAGAAATTCTTCTGTGCCCTCCTCTGAGACCCC